TGATAGGGCAGCTGCTTCATAATATAATATTAAATTGGGCATTTTGAGACCTCTTTCACGTATATCTTGCATTATCTTTAATTTTATTCTCGGTCTTTTCCCTGCCCAAACGAAATTATTAATACCCTTCTGCCATTCCCCCAAATTTGCATCTTTTTTGAGTATTGGTATCATTTGAAAAAGAAATAAAAACTTAGGCAAAACATTCATTTTTATTGCTGCCATTCTTCCCAACAGGGACAATTGTAGTTTTTTCCAATTGTCTATCTCTTTCTGTATTTTTTGCCATAACGGTTCATAATTATACTTATATAATTTTACATTTGAAGTTGTAATATAAACCTCTAAGTATTTAACATTTTTTACTATTTCGAATCATGTTACTCTTTCTAGGTCTTCTTTTTGGTTTATAGTCATATTTTTAGCTATTATCTTTGTTTTCCGTGTGTTTATTTTAAATCCAGATACTTGTCCATATTGATTAATTATATCCATTAAACCTATAGCCGATTGCACTGGTTGGGTTAAAGTAACAACCAAGTCATCTGCAAATCCTCGTAATCTGTAATCATAATGCCTAATTTTAATTCCCTTTATTTTATCTGACCCACGTATTTTATTCAACAAAAGTTCCAAAGTCAATATAAACAGTAGCGGAGACAGGGGACATCCCTGTCTTGTTCCTTTTTCAATTTTAAAGGTTTCTGTTAAACTACCAGAAATCCCAAATATTGATCGTAAAATTGTTCTGCCTTTTCTGTTGAATCTAATCTTTGCTCCTGCTAGATCACCAATACACCCTCAGGTATCAACCATCTAAAATTCACTCCTTTTTTAATTAAACACTTTGTCAAAAACTGGTATTCTCTTCTTAATTCTCTAACTCTTCTCGGAATTTGTTTCTCTACTATTTCTCTACTATTTCTCTACCTTTATACTTCATCAGGTTATCACTTGCTCTCTGCATGATCTCTGTTTTTATTGCTTTCTTGGTGAATTTAACATGCACCTCTCTAGGTAATTTGTTTCTCATTGCGTATTTAGTATGCACTCTAAATGTTTTGTCGATCTCATTCAGAATTTTTCCCTTAGATTCCTCCATCGCTTCCGCCAGCAAATCTGCCATTATCTCCACTAGATTTTCTCATTTTTCTTCTTCCACATTCTGGAATCTCAAATAATAACCTGCCCTATCCATTTCTAAGGAGATAATTGTTTTTTCTTTATTTTTGTCTGTCGCTGTATGTCTGTAATCCAACTCTCCCACTCTTTTCTCTGTTAACTCTGCTTTTTGCATTTGTTGTGCATTTTTCTCCATGATTTGTTTTAAATTTTCTAATTTTCCTTCTACTTTGTCCATTCTCTCATCTACCTTGCCTATTCTTTCCTTCAGATCTTCATGAAGAGCTTCTATCATAGTTTTCTATTCTAATTGCATTGCGTTAGATTTTTCTTGTTGTAACATAGCATTCAGTGTTCTCTGGCCAGTGGGACTGAGGGTTGTAGTCAAGGACGCTGAAGACGGTGCTGATGTTGTTTTCTTCATCTTGTAATGTCTTAGTATTTGTAATCCACCAAGTATAAGTAATATAATTCAAATTCAGTTATAATCCAAGTATAAGTCAACAACAAAAGGAAGAGAAAAGAAAAAGAAAAAAAAAAGGAAAAATGATTTGTAATCCAAATCCAAATCTGAATCTTGACAATTTATCCTTCTTGGGGTTCTTCTTGTTCTTCTTTTCTTCAGGTTCTTCAAACCCTAATCCAAATTGCGTCAGGGAGAGGGATTTATAAAATAATAATTTGTAATCCAAATCAGCCCACCAAGCCCCAAAAATACAGTTATCCAATATCCCAAAAAGAGAGTTCACAGAGCAATCACAAGAAAAAAGAACCAATAGCCACAAAAAAAGGAAGGAAGGAAGGAGCGAGCCTTATTTCAAAGTGCCAGGGAAAATTTCCTTGGTCTGCTTCTGTTTATTTTACCTTTTAAGTTCTAAGAGCTACACTATTCCAAAGAAAAAACAAACTTTCCAGTGTTCCGCTCTTTATCTTAAATTCTTCAGTCAAAACAACTCCTTATCAGGTTGGTTCACAGGCTCCCAAGGTTACATCTTTTCCTTTCTCTTATGTCCTCCAGTTTCCATTTTTGCCTGTAGATGACACTGTTGCTCTGCTTCTCTCTTTCTTCCTCTTTTAACTGTGTTGTCTCAAAGCTAAATGTAAAATGCAATATTTACAGAAAAAACAAAGTTCATAAAGTCACTTTTATATTAACTAATAGTTCCAAATTTAAAAATTTAAAAATAAGATATGCATTCTGGATTTCTGAGTTTGCTCTTCAAACAGGTCTTTATAAGCCAATTTTTATTTTTTTTCCTTTTGGCTCTACCAGCCTTCCTCACTGCTATTCTTCCAGAGGTGGAAGGGAAAAACCAATTCCTCCTTTCGAGTCACACTCTCCTCTGCTATTCCCCAGGAAGTTCTTTGGGAAGTTTAAAGAACTAAAAATCTTGTATTGAAAGTATTTCACCTAGACCGATCACACCTTCCTTCTGTCTTCATGCTCTTGCGGTGACTGCCCTAGCTTTGTAGCGGCTTGCAATGGCCGCCTCCCCAGCTGCCGGTTTAGGGAGCTTTCTCCCGATCAATCAGGGAGTTTGCAGACTCCCTGAGATCAATGGAATATGCTCCCCTTGTTTATCACCCCTACGAGGCGATTCAGGCCCAAAAAGGATGACCCAACAGCTGGGATTTTGACGGTCCCACGAGAGCTCCCAAGGGATACATCGTCTCGCGGTGATGCTAGCCAAGCACCCCCCCCTTTGTTCTCAGTCTTTTAAGTGGCCACAAATCACAAGGCAAGTGGCATTTGATCACAAGGCAAGTAGGCATTGAGAAATGTTTCCCCTTTTGCATTTGAGCACCCAAGAAGGGACAAGAAAGACGAAGAAGGAAAGAGAGGAAGAGAGGAAGAGAGCAAGGAAGGAAAAAGATGGAAAGAGGGGAAGGAAGAAGAAAAGAATGAAGAGGGAAGGAAAAAGAAGGGAAGGAAGGAAGGAAGGAGATTATAATGAGAGAGTGAGGGTCTGAGGTAAATCCTGCCTTAGCACTTGACCAGCAGCCCTGCTGCCTTTTGCCATCCCGTTGTCCCCTCCTCCTGACCTCTCCTGATGGTCTCCCATCCTATCACTGAGGATGCTTTGGTTACAAAGCCAGGTCTCTCCTCATAAGGAGAGGGAGTGGGCCTCCCTCTGACCCACATAATTTGCCCTTCCGCACACACGAGCAACCTGGCCAAGGAGACGGAGCACAGCAGCAGTGGGAGCTGGCTACACCCACCACAGCCCCCGAAGTCAACCATAATCCTGATGTGGCCCTCATTGAAATTGAGTTTGACACTCCTGGACTAACAAGATGACCTGAGTGCTGCATGTGTTGCTCTTAAACATACAATGTATGAGCCAAGGTTAGAAAAATTATCAGTGTGCATACAACAGCAAAAGTCACATTAATCAAAAGCATATGCCAAATGCAAACTTTTACCTTTCAATAAAAACGTGTTTGATTCATTGAAACCTCTGTTATTGGGGCGGGGGGGGTTCAGAGAAAAGACGTTAATCACGTATGAGTTGTTTTTTCTAAACTAAAACCTCATTATTCAGGTTAAATTGCTGTGTTGGCACTTCGCGATAAATAAGTGGGGTTTGGGTTGCAGTTTGGGCACTTGGTCTCTAAAAGGTTTGCCATCACTGTACTACATAATCTTACATTATTTTTAATCAAATCGTTTTCTTAAAATGAGGAAATTAAAATAGATTTTTTTTCACACTGTGGATTATATCCTCTTCCTATCTTGCAGGGATCACATGATAAAAGTTTGTGAGGGCAAGGCAGGAGTGTTGTCAAAATTCATACTGGGCTTTGGATCCTACTTGGCTTGTTCAAGCCAGCTTCAGGCTTGCCCAGGCAAAATAGGAGTGAGTTTTAACAGGTCTCCCATTTTGCCTGGCATGCCTGCAGTAAATGGTTACATTATTGAAAGTCTGAGAAATCATGTATTAAATTAAAATTTAATTATTTATTATATTTATATTATATTTAGTATATTTATTTCTTACCCATCCCTACTTTAGTAAACAGAGTTATCATTTTAGGGTGCTTGGCATTGGAGTATTTGCAAACTAATAATAAGGGACTAACCAACGTCTTATGCAAATATGGCCCATTAGTATGAATGGTTTGTACACTTTCCTGTTAATCAAAATAATCAAAGCAAAATATGATTTAAACATGGCTTAAGCAAACCATAATCTTACAATTGTTTTTATAGTTGTAAGGTACAACTTGCACACTGTCTTCTACATGAGAAGCTTAGAGAATTGTGTACATGCATACCTAGTCATATTTCACAGATTCTTCCCTATTTTTTCTTACCTAAATTCTGAAAGTTTACTCTACCATTTTTAATACATTTTGTAAATGGCCAAACTCAACCAGATTTAGGACTGTTTTTTAATAATAAACTTCCAGTCTGCATCCCTTGCATTGGATTAATTTTTCAAATACTTTTATTATTTTTACAATTTGAGGATTTATAGTAGAAACAAATAATATATATTACAAAATGTAAATCTGCATGTAGACTTTTCTCATTTCACATCAACAATTAGTTTTTAATCAGAATTTTTATAATTTAATTGATAGCATTGATTTCCAATCCTGAATACATATCTTAATTTCCCTTAGTTTGTTTTTGTTAGATCAATGAAAAGCAACAAATTTTAAATGTAAGAGGAATCTTTTTCCTGCTGTTTTGCCTATATTCGTATTTTACCTTAAATTATATTCTTGCTCCTGCAGAATAAAGCCCTGAATATCTTATACCATTTGCCATATAAATGCCATAAATGACATGATCTTTTTTCATTATATTATTAACAATTTATTGGCAGAAACTGTTTTCATATGGTTTACCAGTGTAATTGGCTTTTTTACAGTTACCGAACAAGAGAAGAAATTCAAGAAGTAAGAAGCAAAAGTGATCCTATTACTCTCTTGAAGGACAGAATGGTGAACAACAATTTAGCTAGTGTGGAGGAACTCAAGGTAATAATTTTTCTTTTCACAGGTTGTGAAAATTAGATAGAATTTTTTTTTTCTCTGAATAATTAGTGATGAGTTGGAGGTACAAATAGCCCTCATTTAATATCCACTTGTTCAAATCAAATATTACCTTACTAAAATAAACAACCCCATGGATTACTACCCCTTTCTTCTCTTACACGTAAGGACCAATGACACAACAATGAATCTGAAAATGATGGATTACAAACAACTAGGGAAGAAAGTTAATGAATTAGGAGCACAAGTGGTATTTTAACCTATACTTCCAACAAAAGGCCAACATCCAATGAGGAAGAAAGAATTTTAGAAACGAAACACTGGCTTAAAAACTGGTGTCTTCAAGAGAACTTCAGCTTCCTAAACTATGATCTGCATTACCTATGTGAAGAGCTACTGGCAAGACATGGACTGCACCTCATAAGAACTGCAAAGAATATATTCAGAAAATGACCAGCCTATTTTATCAAAAGGGCTTTAAAGTAAAATTGATGGGGGAGGGGGGCAATCTTCATGACCTTTAGAACCTAATTCCAAGCAAAAACCACTATATAAATACCATAGGTAGCTGTGCCATCCAAACTTTAATTCATGGCTGTCTAATTCAGGTAACCTCTTATTCTGGAGGTTCACCTAAACATTTGGCCAGGCCAGACAGCATGCATCAAAATACAATTTCAAGTCTGGTGTCAGGGTTCCAAATAATAATCCCAAATCTGGTAGACCCAACCCCCCTCTTTCCTTAGCATCTTGTAGTAATTTATATCTAATTCTTGGTTTTTTCCTTGCCATATAAACTTTAAAATATCCTTCTGCCATTGTTTGAATGGATTGTCGGTTGTAAGTATTAATAATATCTGGAATAGAAAAAGCATCTTTGGTAAAATATTCATCTTGATTTACAGAGATTCTACCTAATAATGATAAGTGCAGTTTATCCCATCTTTGTAAATCCTGTTTAATATCTTCCAAAGAGGGAGGTAGTTGTTTTGAAACAATTTTATATTTGTATTTGTCAACATAACTGTTCTGACCCGGCTCCCAAACACAACAAGCCCTTTGTATTTAACGAAACATTCTCTTTATTAGGAGTGCCAGCAGCCACACTCTCACAGCAGGCTACAAAGTCTCTAAGTCCTGTGGAAAGTTGATTTTCGCTCCCTTTCCCACTGAAATGGCCCCAACATACCAGGAGTTTCTCTCCCTTTCTCTTCCCACACTTGCAAAGGAAGTCCTGGAAGGTGCGCATGCTTTCTTCCAGCACCAGACACACACGTGCTCAGAAGGCACTGCAGATTCAAAGAAGAATTCTGATAATTTTCAGACAGGATTCGGAAGTGCAGGCTATCAGTGGCTGACAGGCAGGGAGATGAATAGTTCTGTGCCACACCTATTCATCTCCGCCTCCTGCCTTTTATCCCCAGAGCTAGGGTGGGGCTTTGCTAGCAGCAGTGGCTCTTCTGTCCCAAGGACCGGCCCATAGATTCCTGCTGCTCTCCTCTGCTTTCTATGCCTCCGCGCATCAGCCAGCTGTTCCTCCTCTTCCTCATCAGCCACCTCCAGACCTGGGGGCTGTTGACTCTCCATCTGAGCTCAGGCTGATGGATGTCCCAGGCTCCACCTCTGTCTCTATCTCTGACAGCTCCATTCCCTCTTCCCCCTTGGAGCTCTCAGATTGTCTTGATGCTGGCCCCAACGCCTCATCTGCTGCCTCACCAGATTTGGCTGCTGGAGGGGTTGGTGGCCGACAGGCCACAACAATAACCCCTAAGTATTTCATCTTTTTCTCAACCCTAAAACCCGACTTTTTTTTCAGTATATCACTGTCCTGCGAAGACCTATTCTTGATCAGCATTGTTGTTTTCTGTTTGTTTATTTTGAAACCTGCCAAATTTCTTCATCAAATATTCAATATTGTTTTTTAGGTTCTGTAAAAATATAGCAAACTTTTATACATATTAAACTTAAGGGGCTTTCTACACAGTAAGCAAAAAGAGATTTATACTTTTGGGGGCCCCACAATGGACTATGTTGTTTTTTCATAATTGATTAGTAGTTAAAAATTGTTAACATGTAATTAACATGGCATTTTGAATTTGTCTATCTAGATTCATATTTGACACATCAGTGTCATAATCACATTTATTAGAAAAATACCTTCAGAATTTTTAAAACTAGCAATCATAGTTGACAAATGTTTATCTGTATTTACACTTTATATTTAATTCATCTTCCTTTTGGATAAAGATGATTCTGCAACGGTATAATCTATTGCTCTCTTGAATCTTGCTGCCCTTCCCAAAACTTTGGTCAAATGGAAAGAAATTAAAGTCCAAAACTTTAGGAGATAATTATTATAGTTAGAGACAGAAACTACTCCTACAATATTATAATTAGATCATATGTAAATAGGTATGAAAATGGCTTAGCACATGTGTGTAACAGATACAAGGACTACTTTTTTTAAAAAATGATCATGATTTGAATTTTTGTAGCTTGATGTATCTACACTTATATTAGAACCAGAGAGTGGTTTTGATCCAGATTATTTATTGCAATAACAAGCTATGTATTAGTAATGTAAGTTTAAAGCACTTTACTCTGTATTTTGGAAGGCTTTCTTCTGTCTATTAATATTTTATTGTTTCTGGTGTAGGAGATTGATGTGGAAGTAAGAAAACAGATTGAGGATGCAGCACAGTTCGCCACCACTGATCCAGAACCACCTCTGGAAGAATTAGGCAATTATATCTATAATAAAGAGCCACTCTTTGAAGTGCGTGGTCCAAATCAGTGGACTAGGTACAAATCTGTTGGCTAAGAATTCTGATTAAGCAGCTACTTAAACTGATAGATAGCATATTGGAGTTTAACTGTTACATCTGTTCTAAGTGATAAAAGCCAGATAAGATAAATCATAAAATAAATTTTGGGGAGGGTGGGGAAATGAGAAAAATGGAATTTTGAAAGAAAGTTGTGCAAGAAGTAAATTAAAGTTTATTAAACTTCAGTTTGTTCTGTGTTGCTGTATGATGAAAATTAACTCAGCTAAAATGGCATTATTTACATTAATAAAGTTTCATCAAGATTTTCTAAGCATATATTGCTTTATGTATATCTTTGCTTTCTTCCTTTCATTGTTTTTCATGGTTTTGTCCATTGTATTTACTTTAAAACTTAATATTTTAATATACTCAAAATATATTGATATATTTACTATAAATAATATATTCAACCTAAATTATTTTTTCTTAGTGTGGAACCCTGCACAATTTGAAATACTTCGAGATTTATCTTGCTCTTACAAGATCATATAAAAACTAATACTTTGTGTTATACAACACCCAAACATATTTTTAAAAAGCAGGTATATTAGAAAAGGTTTACGTTTTACAGCAACTGCATTTTGTAAGGTGAACTATTCATATAGCTAAGCAATTTTCTAAGTTACTGTACATGTCTAAAGTTGTGTAGATTGTTTAAATAATACATATACATACAATTTATAATAAACTAGTCATTATTTAATACTTACAAACAGAGCTTTTTAATTGTGCAAAACATGCAAGGAAATCAGCATATAAAACTTATTTGGAATGTATTTTTTTTCTTACAATCCATTAGCATCTGGCAAAAGTGAAATGCTAAACCTCCATTCCAAGACTGTATTTTTATTCTTTTCTTTCCTACTTCTACTTTTTTTTCTTTCTTATACCTTGCTGACCCAAAAGGGAATAGTGTGATATATTGTATATGTATACTTGCATTGTTTTGGATAATGTAAAATGTGTTCTTTTGCTACATACTTAGAAATATGAAGTGATTCCAATTACATACTGCATTTTAGTCCAAGCATGTTTTTTAGAATCAAAGAGCTACCTGAGAAGGGATTAGAATCTGCCGTTCCCATTATTGACTTTGTCTGGCCTCCAAAACTAAGCAAAGGCAGATTTAGTAAATGTTTTGACAGAATACCAGTTCTGTAAACTGGACTGGGCAATCAGAAAACATCTTCAAAGGTTATGGAAAAGTCATTCTGTACTGATGCCAAGAAAACTCCATCAATTGGTCCATGAAGTCACCAGGAATTCAGCTCAACTCAAACAAAACTTAATTTTTCCCTCCATATAAAATCAATTCCCTTTCTTCTTTTGAGCTAAATTCACATACAATATTGCAAATTATGTAATTCGCTTATTTCTGGCATCGTCTATTGAACAATCATAGATAATTTATGGCTGGGCAGAGGCTTTCCCAAATATTCTTCAGATTCTCATGTCTTCAGGCCTGTATATAATATGTCTTCTTCACTGCTTTCAAGCTGCATTCAGAGAAGGCGTTTAAAGCAGAAAGGGGTGATCAGAGAACAGACATTCTTCTTTAGTTCCCAAGTATGATTTTGTAACAAATAGACATCCTGCATACCTGAGCTAAAAGCAATAGAGGAATAACGATGGCCTGGGTCAAATAGAATGTGTATTAGATAACTCCTGGAACATTCATTCACCAAGGTTTAGGAATAGGGATGGCTAGAGACCAATAGAACAAATTGTTAGATCATTACTAAAATGTTTATTAGATTATATTTCTTATTATTCCACCTTGTCCCACTTTCTTCTTTAGTGAAATTGTATAAAGCTTTCTTAATTCTTTGTTCTGGGTTCTTGGCATTTTGGGCAGGACCCCTTTTCTTGGAGCACTTAAATAAAAGACAAGAAAATTGCATCTCTTGTCTGGCATCCTTCATCAGCCTCAGCACCAGGCTCAGACCCAAATTGGGGACAACACACATGCCCAGAGTACCATTACTCCATCTCTATTGCAGGTAGCATACTTCTGAGGAATTCTAAAGATTGCATTATTACCTACTGGCTTACTTTCAAGTGAGTCCCTGAACAGAGAGTTCACAGACAATGTAAACTGAGGTCAAAGTAGCCAATGTGATTTGCTTATGGCTCAGTGTACTTTGAACTGATCACATACATGACTAGACTACCGTATTTTCCGACGTATAAGACTGGGTGTATAAGACGACCCCCGACTTTTCCTGTTAAAATATAGGGTTTGGGCTATACTCGCTGTACAAGACTACTCCTCTTCCAACGCACACCAAATAAAAATTAAAAAACATCAACTGGCTCACCCACAATGTAAAAGCAGCTATGCTAGACCCAAAATGGCCCCTACAACAAGCAGGAACCTCACACAGCCACAAAAAGCCCAAAAAAACAACTTTCACACTTTACACACACACAACACAAAACAACTGGCTCACCCACAATGTAAAAGCAGCTGTGCTAGACCCAAAATGGCCCCTGCAATAAGCAGGAACCTCACACAGCCACAAAAAGCCAAAAAAACCCCAACTTTCACACTTTACACACACAAAATTCCACATACAGCTTTGTGAGATTTTTTGTGTTTGTGTAGTTAGAGTGAAACACTACAGAAACACACTAAATCTCAGAAAGCTATACAAATATTATTTTATTTTATTTTTATTTTTATATGAAAACTAAATTTAAAACTTCCTAAACTTTAAATGGCTAGGTCTAAAAAAGAACAACTTAAAAAACCCCCAATTAACTATTTTTTTTAAAGCTCCCAAAGGGGAAAAAAACTTACCCAATAGACCAGGGGTCTCCAACCTTGGCAACTTTAAGACTTGTAGACTTCAACTGCCAGAATTCCTCAGCCAGCTTTGTTTTGCTGGCTGAGGAATTCTGGGAGTTGAAGTCCACAACTCCCTGCCTGCTTGATTGTAGGCAGGGAGAGGCTTGCTGATGGAATGGATTCAGGCAAGCGAAGCAAGGCAGGCGTTGCGACTAGCAGCTAAGGTAAGCAAGCTGGAGGGGGAAAACTTTTTTTACAAAACTTTTACAAAAGCTGGGATCGTGGCTCTGGCGATCCCAGCTGCGTTGCCTGATTAGCAGGCAAAGCTGGGATCGTCAGAGCTTGGATCGCCAGAGCCATTTAAGGCTCGTCAGAGCCTTTCGGGCTGGTCTGCCTGGTTACAGGAGAACAACACCTGGCGTATAAGACGACCCCTGACTTTTGAGAAGATTTTCATGTGTTAAAAAGTCGTCTTATACGCCGGAAAATACGGTATTCATGCATATTGTGCAAAGTCAGCAACTGTTCACAAACGCCAAGGAGAGAATGCTTTTATTGGTATGTGTGTTGTGTAGGAAGAAATATCCTTCTGGGTTCAGCTCCAAGTGGGGAAAAAGACACTGGGAACATGGAAACTGCTTGGAAAGATGGTTTAATGGTGGACAGGATCACATGGCTTGAGTTCCTGAACAGAAAAGGGTGAGATACAGCGAATCCCCGGGTTTTATGCTTTGAACTTCCTGGGGCCTCGAAAGAGTATCCTGATTGGTTGTCAGACTCCCATGGAGTGGGGGTCTTAGCTAGCCTTGCTGGCTGATGTAATCTTCCCAGGTGCCATGTGGTGAGTTTCTGTCCTAGATGAGTCCTATTGTGTTGCAGATGATGGTCCTTTGACAAAGGATTGAGTTTCTGCCTCTAGCCCATTAATAAAGGTGTGTGCGTTGCGGGGGGGGGGAGGCAGGAAGCTGCTTTGTCTTTAAAACATGTTTCTCCATTTCTCATCCAGGGAAATATAATATTCTGCCTTTTTAATATTTCCTAAAATATTTCATTCCTCTAGGAAAGGGGTGGGTGCTAACTTCCTACAATCCCTAATTTATTTTTTTTTCAAAACATGAGTTTTGAAACATGTTCTTGGCAAAAGATTAAAATTGATCAGGTCAGGGAGAGTTGATGGGTGCTTTTAATTCTAATGCAAAGGGGAGGCATTGATAGAGGCAGCAGAAGGATTTTTCAGCAGCTCCCAAAGAGCTTTCAACCATGAAGGTCTAGCAGCCAGGAGAAAAGTTCTGGTAAGAATTTTACAGTTTCCAATTTTCCATGCCAATTAATTTCAGATGTCAGATATCACTTTCTGTGAGCTTCCAGTCAGCTTTTAAGCAAGCACATGTCCCAAAAATTTTTCACAGCCATGGTTTTCCTTTAAATTACAGGCTGCCCATTTCCAAGGGATGGTTACTTGAACCTGCCCTAGCTCTTACTTTAGTGTATCCAGGATTTGTGCGTCCAAATTGAGGTTAGCCAGTGTACAATCCAGGTTTTGGGGGTTTTTGGTATTACACACGAGCCCTGGGACTTCTACTCATGCGACCACCAATGCAACGTATCTTTCTTTACTGGGCAACTGGGCAGCATCATTTGTGAGTCAGTCAGGGCTTGGGTTTTGGATATCACTTTTTCTGCTATCTCTTCAAGTGAGGGAATTGCCTGAGGGGGATTGCTCCCTCCCCCATGGAATTAGCAGGGAGATATGACTTCTTGGGCTTTTAGTGCCACAGAGCAAAAATCAACCTAGGAGAAGCTTTATGTGGAGGTAAGTGAAGGGAATAGTTTCAGTCTAATTCTGAATGCTGTGTCTCTCTGTGTGTGCATGTGTATGCAGCTACTCTTATAATACAGACAATACAAACATTTTGGACAAATTTCTCTCCCACCAGATAGACATCTAAGGTGTTCAAAACTTGCTGTGCCAGCCACTCTCAAATACAAGCCTTACATGAGTACATTAGACTGATTATTATATAAATGAGACAAGAAAAAAAACTTACAATGAAACTCCCCCCTCCCCCCATAGTCTTTCCAGCTGTCTTCTGAGGATTGAAGAGTCCTTTAGTCTTTACTTGTATATCTCAGGGTCTTTTCTTTCATGTCTGCTGGATGACATGCTTGGTGGTAAGGCTGGCCAGTCAGGCTTGGGAAGGTCTGCTCCACTCTGGTTGCTGTGATGACTTTCAGTGGAGGCTGGATTCAAACCCAATTCCTGGCTCAAACAGATGGAAGGTCTCCTCTGGAGGCAGCATCTGGATCCATGTGCTCTGCTTCCACAGTTGCAGAGTCCTTTGTGCAAGGCTGAAAGACATTAGAACAGGGTCCCCTCCCCCCTTTTGTGGGTAATCTTCCCAGGAAAGGCTAAGGATAAGAGGATAAGAGATGGGGGGTGGGGGGTTAGATAGCTTGCAGGCAGAGTTTGAAAAGAAACAACACACCA